ATCCAATGACCAAACAAAATCGACTACCTAAAGAATTGATAAGAGCTGCTACACAGGTACTTGAATTGAAATCCCAACAACTTTAAAGTCGAGACAGGGTGTGTATCCGTGAATTTGCAATGCGTCTGCTTCTTAATGTTCAATATTCGTGCTATATCAAGAATTTTCCCTCTATTTTAATGAGTGAATAGTACACGTAAGCCCATAATTTTCACTGAAGATTTCATTTCAAGCTCTGACTTTCAATTTATTGCATTTTTGGTCATACATGCTGGGATGCGTTAGACTGTCGTGTTCACAGAAGAAATATATAGATATCATTAGATGCCTGAAATAAAATTCCCAGGGAAAATTACAACATTCAATGCAGCACTGATCCATCAAATGAATCGAGAAATACTCGTAAACACTGAATATCTCACTTTTATTGAACATTGGAAAAGGGTGATAATAATCGTACAATCAATTCATAAGCATCATTCGAACTTCACACTCATTGCAATGATCCGTTGGTAGAATGTTCAGTCAAGAAAAAGAAGGAATAAAACTGCACCAGACGCATAGTTGTTGTATTATCTTAGTTTTTGAACTTCTCACTGTATCAATATGTTTTGTCGAGAAAAACCTAACATAGGTTTGGTGATGTAATAGGCTTAATTGATATTCATGGAAGTAAGTACCATATTTGCCTATAGGTAAAGACTTAAATAAAACTGATTTCCTTTTCAGTTAAGATGATTTGTCACTTTCATCAGTTTATTGGACAATGAATAGACCAGTAAAATATATAATTAAATTAGTAGATTGTATTCGTCACCGACTGATTTCAGTTGGTGTAAGAGTGTCATTGAAAACCATGGAGTACTGGACTGGTGTTTTGTCTTACTAAGGGACTCCTCAGAAGTGTGCAACCACAACCCGAGGACCTTCAGGTCAAACACTCAACGCCTAATCATTAAAATCACTGGATCGGCGTCTAATAGTATTATCTCAACTTTAATCAGCTGTTGATTATCTGATTACTTCAAGATAATGTGTCGGAGGAAATAAACAGGTTTTTTTGTTTAGTTATTTGGGGCCCATTAGGTTGGACCGGAAGGCAGGGGAGCAGTTTTATCGATCTAGCCTGAGTATTGATTAGTTCGCCTAAACTGTCTAATCAGTACCAATGCCACGATAAATGTGAGCTAAGAACCAAAAGTAACACTTAATAACTATTGGTACAGACTGCAGTTACTCACACTTATTCGCCCGATAACCAGAATAGAGAACAACTCAGCAACCAGACAATTAATTATACATTCAAAATTTATGAATCACTCATACAATAATACAGAGAAAAACCATAAAAACAAACCAACAGAATTAGGAAATTACAATATGAATATAACTGCATCATAAGTGGGAACGGACTAGTGCTCTGAAATAAATTAACAATAATTTGGGAAAGGTAAAACACACCACAATAATTTCTGTGTCAAACAGAAGCCTACAAGTAGAGGGACACAATGGTGTAACACCATAACTATTTAATAGTTTTATAACAAAAATATGAACAAAAACTTCAGATAGAACCGCTAAGAAAGCCTTTGATTAGTATTTATCCTAACAAAGCACAAGGTGAATGTTTAGAGGCTCAAACAGTGAGAATTTCATCTTCGATCACAGTAGACGACACACTCTACAAGTAAGGTTTACAGTGAACTTGGTAAATATAACGGTATCCTATCCACAAGTTGTCAAAATTAGAAGTAGTTGTATAATTTAGATTTACTTCTTATACATAAGAAATTGACAACAATTGAGTGAGGTTCGACGACGACACTAACAGTAAAATCTATAATATAAATCCGCATAAGGTGTGACAATTGGTATTTTACACACCTATGTGATTTATTCTAGCCTTTGGGTAGATAGATTACTTTAACTTTTCCAATCATTCTGTCGTTTATACGTATGACCCTGAGAGTGTCTATGTTTCTATATTCTTACTCGTATCTCTCTGATGGCTATAAATAACATTGAGTCACGATATCTTAATTAAGTCGAGTGAAGTACGTTTGCCTCTGATCTTTCGTTGTCTGTTTGCGGTAGATAGGTGTGTGAAATGTATTCATCGAAAACAACTCTCGTATTCGACTTTTAATATACCACTGTTTTAATCGTGTTAAGTAGACAGAACCTATATAGAGTTAAACGGGATACGTATTCTATTGAGCTCAATATGCGAGCATAAAGTATATGCAATAAATTTCAAGAAAATATGCAAATACTGTAGTAAAATTTGGAGAAGTAAAAAGTTGGTGTCTACGCTATTTTGTCACATGAAAAAAGGGATTTCTTAAGTCCAACAGAATCATCATACATGTATGATTGTAAAAGGCCGACTAGAACAACCTTGTTTAGTAAATTGAATTTAGAGCGGAAGGATTGAAGTTGGAATCAGTGTAATCAGTGACCAATTTCGAACCTATCTAGTTTTAATTATGTATATAGTATGGCGACCATAAAAGTGGTCAAAAGCCGGCCACTGTTTTGGATATCAATGTGGTTGGTGATCATGTGATATCAAGAATCGACAAGAGTTGGGAATGTAAACCGTTAAATACCAACTCAATAGTCTAAGTGGTTAAACGCTCATCGCCTGACATGTATGTCTTGAGCGTCAACTACTGGTTTGGTTATGGATGACCGCCAATAAGGAGCTTCTTTCTAGAAACAAACGACTGTCCAGTTCTTCTCGATTCTCGTTAGTTATCTAACTAAAGTCGATCCATGATGATAAACTATCAGGCCCAACAATGGTTACAATCCCCTAAACTAAAACTACCTATATTTGTACTATAATACCTAATGGAACCTTCTTCGACACTATGGTATACCTGAGATTGTCAGCATCATATGGACCTCACTGCAAAGTCTTGCACGGAGGGCAGCTGACAGATGCATTACAAGTGAAGACCGGTGTCAGACAAAGCTGTTTGCTTACTTTCACCTTTCCTCATACTTCTGGTGGTTGACTGGACCATGAGGACCTACACATCTCCGAGGAAGCACGGAATACGGTGCAGATCTTGCGTAAAGCTAAATGATTTGGACTTTGTAGATGACCTAACTCTTCTGTCCCATACACAGCAACAAATGCACATGTAGACTGCCAGTGTCAAAATAGTCTCTGAAGCAATAGATCTAGTATTCACTAGAGAAAAAGCAAGACCCTGAAATACAAAATGAAAAGTACCAACTTGACCACAAATGATAGCAAAGCTCTGGAACAGGTGGAAACTTTCACGTACCTGGGTAGCATCATTAATAAATAAAGAGGATCTGATGCAGATGTGAAGGCATGAATTGGCAAAGCAATCTCGCCTTCCCTACAATTGAAGAATATCTGGAACTCAAAAGAACTGTCGGCCTACATCGAATTCAAAATTTTCAACACTAACGCTGTAACAGCTCTATTGTACGGAGCTGAAACTTGGATGACTACTACAATTATCGTCAAAATGGTACAGGTAGTTACAAACAGTTGTCCACGCAAGATACTCAGTATCCGTTGACCGGATACCATCGGTAACAACCGACTGTGTCAGAGAACAAACAGGCCTCCAGCCGAGGAGGAAATTAGGAAAGTACGCTGGAGGCGAGTAGGATATAGATGGCGGAAATCGTCAAGCTGCACCATGAGGCAAGCCCCAACTTGGGATCCTGAAGGTAAAATGAAAAGAGGTAAACCAAAGAACACCTTCAGCTGGAAATCGAAGACACACATCAGAAGAATGAATAGCGATTGGGGACAACTTGAAAGGAGAGACCAGGAGAGAGTTGATTGGAGATTGCTGGTTAGCGGCCTATGCTAAATGACTGGTAACAGGCGTAAGTAAACTCTATTTAACTGGACTGATACACAGTGATAACTTGAACTGATGCAAGGCGGTATGTCCCAGGTCCCATGTTGCCTATGACTGACTAGGTGCGCATCGATTATTTTGATGGTAAGAAAGGAACGTATTTGTACGTATATATATATATATATATATATATATATATATATATATATATATTTAAATTTATAAACATTGGTACAAAGGAGCATCAAAATATATATGCGCCACACAAATTCTCATTAAATTTGTGTGTGGATTGGGGTATTTTCCGGGTGTCAAAACTTAAGTAGGTGGTTTTCTTAAGAGGGCCACTCCCTGAGTCTTCGACTAAGAGGTCTAACCATAAAGTACTGGAGCAATGTTAGGAGGTGCTATCGCATAGTAGCCGGTCACAAAGAATAGGTTCATACGCCATTTGTTCCCTCAGGTTTTGGAAGCCCATGTCCACCATTGGTTTAGTATCACGTTTTTTGACTACCCTAGGTTAGTCGATCCTCTGTATCCATCATGCATATAAAACCAAGACCAAATCACAATAAATTCTTCATATGATTAATTACTATTTGAGAGAACGTGCACAACATACACGAAGATTTTGATGTTCATCTCACTGTTGTGTGAATTCATCACTTACTAGTAACATTATTATTATTATTATTATTATTATTATTATTATTATTACAAGTGAACATTTGATAAATTTAATTATTGGGTAATCAAGAAGACTTCAAAGTAAATATTATATATATCATAGTCAAACGGATTATTGAAATAGAATTTACCCCGTCTCGTTATTTTTAAATTTGAAAACGACCCCACGAAAGTGTAACCCACATAAATATTCAAAAGAAGACTGAGTTATTATGAGAATACTAATTTTAAGAGAGCGAAGGAAGTAGCAGTACATGCAATGGAATATGATTTCGACAGTGGGCAGGGGATAAACGCAACAAGAAATATATTTAGGTATACTTTTATAGGGTAAATAGATAAGTGGATGGATGAAAAACGAGAGAGGGGGGAGAGATTATGAGCAAGCAAGTGTTAACTGATGAAGGTAAGCAGGAGGAGAACGAGGTAATGAAGGTAGTAATGGTCGTTGTCGTTTAGTAATTAATGGCCACCAATACCGCAATCATGATTTGAAGAAATTGATAATTTTCGACATTTATCATCATTACTTTTATCATAATCAAACCTTTTAATATCAACCTGATACTTAAGTGATAATTTCATAATGTATACTTTGAAAAAATAGATAGACAAAATACCGACAGCAATTAAATGCGGTATAAAATAGAATACACGTAAAAATTTCAATGACGAATAGAAATCTAGTAGGTGAAATGGTGCTTGACCATAATTCACAATTAAATTAGTAATGATCATGGTAAATACACTATAGAGTTGACTGGAGAGATAATTTCTACGGAAATATTGACGACAGTGACGATGCCATAGACGTGAGGTCATAGTGAATAAAGCAAACGATAAAAACATAATATAATAGCCAGGATAAAAACCATGCCAAAAAGCGCTTATAATAAAGACAAGGATTGTACGATAAGCTGATGGAAGACGATCATAAAATGTTTCACGTAGCCACCGTGTAGTTGAGATATTCCATGCATCGATAACATGTTTTAAACTAATACCAGTTTCAACTTTAAGGAAATCAAAATTGCGAATGTTATGATTTAATGTAGCACCTGTACGTGGACATTGGCCAGTATAACCAGCACCAACAGCCACTCCATTGACTTCAGCTAAACCCCATGCAAAGTAGTATTTTTGTCGAATTAAGAATAGAGAAATTGTCACGTAAAAAATGCGATGCAACATGGAATAATTCTAAAGTGAAACAAACAAATACATAAAACATAGAGTTTGTGAGTGTTTGATCGCTTTCAAAACTCTTATTTTTTCATTGACAATAATACAAGTGTAAAAAATAGTAGTAACTCAATAGGAATGTTTAAAGTGCATTGAACGTTAGTTAGTCTGATGTAGTGAAGACATTGAGATAACTGTACTTGGAGGAGTAAAATTATACACCTTCAGTACCAAATGGGACGTTTACGCGAGTATAATATTTAATTGGAGCTTACTATGGTTCACAATGAAGCCTGTGGTATAAACCTCCAAGCTAGTGTACATGTAACCCAGTCCATTATGCAGCCAAATATATGCTAGGCAGTAAACTTGTGAAGGACATGTCCAACAAGATCATTTCAATAATGTGAAATGTTTGGAATAGAAACGATAGCGTGAGAGGGTGCATACATATAGCATACAACTCTATCAAAACCTAGCATAAAACAATAGTATGAAATTGTAAAGGGATTTTCTTATCGTCCGTGAAAAGTTATAATTGTTATAACCTTAAATTAGGATTGTGTCTAGAACCTTTATAAATGGTGGATTATGATGAGAGAATTTGAGTACTCGGGTAATATCCTAAGCCACACACAAACTTGATGATAATTTGTGTGGCGTACATATATTTTGATGCCCCTTTATAATAATGTTTATACGTTTAAATAATAATGTAATAAACATAGGATTAAAACAAAATAGTGGTACTTTCTACGACAATTCGTACTTTGATAATCGGATGACACTACTTATCCTCAATGTGAACAACAAGTGTGTATAGCTCAAAGAAGTCAGATGGTATATAAACCCCACTACTTGCTTACTATTGAGTTACATTTTTTCATATGAATAAAGGAAGACTGAACACTATAGATAGAGAAGACAAGCATAATCTACGGAATAATTGGTTCAACACCAAATTAAATTAGATCATTCACCAGGTCCTTGGATATGTTCTCCAAACTTTAAGTATGAAGGCTATTAATACTGTACAGTTCCTCAGATAGATAGGTGGGCCAGGGTTCAAACGAGAAAATTTGTGTGCGAAAGTTGAACGCTTTAACCAATCGTTTTATTCAACCCGAATAAAAAATCAATAATCCTGTAGTATGTGGGAAAATTATTGACAGAAACCAACGAGACTTATTATTTTGGAAAAAAGGCAACTGCAATATTGATTGTACATTGAAAGAGTTTCAGGGCATTTTGCTGTTGAGTTCATAACTAGAAATGACAGTCCCTGGAAAAAGCAACATTTAACGATGGCTGACTATGAACTGATCATACACACAGTCTAAGTGTTTAAAATAAAAAAATCGGGAATAATGTGACAATGTATTAATTTTCTGGTAGATTTGCTGCGTGAAACAAATTTAAATGGATGATCACAAAATAAACTATATTATTTGAAACAAATAGCAAAAAATAATTTTATAAACGACTGTCTACCATGGCCATTCTAAAACCTAACTATGAATTATATCATTCAGTAATCAAAAACCAAGCACTGTCTCTATTGATATTACTACAAAATTACTATACTATTACTATTCTCATAAAGACGTACTTGTTATATTTACGCAGTGGTTAGGTTTGCATATCAAGATGACCCAAGCCACCTATATTGATTGAAACAAGCCGGTTGGTACACAGTAAAACTAGTAGCAGTAAACTTAAGGTGTGAGGGTGAAATCGTACTGCGATTTTCCTCAGTATATGAATCAATGCTGCCTTGCTGTAAAGGAAGGAGGGTTGCAGAAGGTCGACTTAAAAATGAGCGTGCCTCAATTTCGCCTCCATAGATTTCCGTTATCGACAGTAAGGCCTTAAATGTACAGAGGTAACCCAACTAGAACTATTCACAAAAATGTCATACATGACAGGTCTTAAGTAGTTATTCCTTGAGTATTATGGTCATGCTCACAGATCGTCAAAATCACTCTTAATCTTGTTTCTTTTTTAGGTTTCCCAACAGGGAATATCCTTCCACAGTATGGACAACTGCTACAGGTACCTCTAACAATACTCGAGATGACTGAATCAAGATTTATTTGGTTCAGTGAAAGAAATTTCCGACTTAAACGTTCGGACTATTGCGACAAAAAATACACTAACTTTTTATCTGACAGTTTAAAAGTACGAAGATGTATTTCGACTGTTTTGTTGAGAGACAGAGAGAGAGAGAATGACCTATCCTTTTTGATGAAACGACTTGATGCATACATGTAGTATGAACACAGTGAACATGTTAATGAGCATGTTAATGTTTTTGGTTGCTTTACATCACAATTGCATGAGACGACGTGAGTGAAATTAACTATTGTCTCAAGCTACTGGTTATTTTTTAAACTAATCCTGAAATTGCGATAAATACTGGATACAATTTTATCTTTCGAAGAGGGTTTCTTGTACTTCAAACGAGATATATTCAAGGTTATGTTTTTATTGATTCACTATCACTCAGTATTTTTCAAAAACAACAATTATTTTGCTCTTAGATACAAATATTATATCAGTATAGGATTGTGGAAATTGCAGAAATTTTGATGAGATCAAGAACCGATCTAAGTTAGACAAGTTGAAAGCACTAGACTGGCGTTTCCGTTCGAGTACGGGATTTCTTAGTAGTGCGCACTCATGATCCTTCATCCAGGAATCGGAACAAGTACTTTCAATTTAGCTGAATTGGGAACTCTCTTTTGAAGTAATCTTTTTTATTGTATGTGTAAATAAGTATATTAGCGAAAAGTCAACATGCGAATATCAAGCAAGTACATCGGTAGGAGACTATTTATGAGTATGGGGATTTGAGTTTCTTCACAGTAGAAATCACGAGTTCATATAAGCTAGACCACAATTGAAAACCTAGTAGCATTTTCAGCCGTTGCATCCTAATATGCAAACATAAAACTGTCTATCTAGTAAAATAAATAAGTACTATTTTCTGTTTCCCACACAAGATAGATAAACGTACGTATATATATAACTCCGCCTGTAGCGCCTTCGGGGACTACTGCCGGTCCCAAGCCCGGGTAAAGGAGGAGGGTTAGGCATGGGGTTAGCGACCCCATCCCGTACAAATCCAACTCGCTAAAAAAACGTTAACCAAAAAGATTTTTCAAACCATTCAAACTCTGCCCTGGGAGTAGAAGGAATAATTATGACGTCTCATGATGAATACCAAGTTCCTTCGGAAGTCATGAGGCCGATGCACCTTCTAACAACCAGAGCGACAATTTGTATAGATACATGGAATGTTCAGACAATGTGGGTGACTGGAAGAGTCTTCCAAATTGCTGCAGAAATGAGAAAATACAACCTGGAGGTGTTTGGAGTCAGTGAAACACATTGGACGCAGGTTGGACAACAACGACTGTCTTCAGGGGGACTTCTGTTATACTCCGGTCATGAAGAAGAAAATGCCCCACATACACAAGGGGTTGCATTGATGCTGTCCAGAAAAGCACAAAATGCACTTATAGGATGGGAATCTCATGGACCAAGGATCATCAAAGCCTCCTTCAAAACAAGGAGAGAGGGCATTACAATGAACGTCATCCAATGCTATGCGCCTACCAATAACTATGATGAAGACGCTAAAGACCAATTCTACGATAGGCTGCAGTCGATCGTCGAGAAGTGCCCAACCAAGGACCTGACAACTCTGATGGGAGATATCAATGCCAAGGTTGGAATGGACAACACTGGATACGAAGACGTCATGGGACGACATGGACTGGGAGAAAGGAACGAAAATGGTGAGAGACTTGCAAATCTATGTGCATTCAACAAATTGGTCATAGGCGGCACAATATTCCCACACAAGTGCATACATAAAGCTACATGGATCTCACCGGATCAAACCACAGAGAACCAGATAGATCACATCTGTATCAACAAAAAATTCCGAAGATCAATGGAAGATGTGAGAACCACGAGAGGAGCTGACATAGCTTCAGATCATCACCTGGTTGTGGCCAACATGAAACTGAAGCTAAAGAAACACTGGATAACTGGACAAACAACACTACAAAGGTTCAATACTGCCTTCCTTCGAGATACTAACAAATCTCAACAAAAGGTTCCATGTTTTACAGGATCTACTGAAAGAACAAGAAACTACGATGGAGGACAACTGGATAGGGATAAAAGAAGCACTAACTTCAACGTGTCAGGAGGTTCTTGGTCCTAAGAAACATCATCATAAGGAATGGATCTCTATGGGAACCGTGGACAAAATTCAAGAAAGGAAGAACAAGAAACTAGCAATTAACAACAGCCGAACACGAGCAGAGAACGTCAAAGCACAAGCAGACTACGCAGAAGCAAACAAGGAAGTGAAGAAAAGCATTATAGGCGACAAGCAGAAATACATGGCAGAACTAGCAACGACGGCGGAAAAAGCTGCAAGAGAAGGGAATATGAAACAACTATATGACAGCGTGGACAGGAAAACATTATGAAAGCTTCTTCAACACTATGGAGTTCCTGAGAAGATTGCCAACATTATCCAAAACTCGTACGATGGACTATAGTGCAAAGTGGTGCATGGAGGACAGCTGACAGATGCATTTCCAGTAAGGACCGAAGTCAGGCAAGGCTGTCTACTCTTCCCATTCCTCTTCCTTCTGGCGATTGGTTGGATTATGAAGACTTCGAAATCTGAGCGGAAATACGGAATACAATGGACTTCTCAGAATCAATTAGATGATTTGGACTTCGCAGATGACCTAGCCCTCCTCTCTTATACACACGAACAAATGCAGATGAAGACAGCAAATGTAGCAGCAGCCTCCGCATCGATAGGCCTCCACATTCACAAAGGAAAAAGCAAGATTCTCAAATACAACACGGAGAACACCAATCCAATCACACTTGATGGCGAAACTCTAGAAGAGGTGGAAACATTCAAGTACCTGGGGAGCATCGTTGATAAACAAGGAGGATCGGATTCAGATGTAAAGGCG